AGTCTCAAATCACTTTTCGAGAGACTAACTGGCACCACGAAGTGGCAAAGCTGAATAACTACTACTCCTTACAAACTGCTAAGTGACAAATTGAGGGCAGTTAAACAGAGCAAGCAAGAGAGCAGTTGCAAGGCATGAAAATCTCTAAACCTCTCAAATTATTTCGCCCAGAAGAAATTTCTCACTTTCACTAGCATTACCTAATTCTGATGCTGCCCTGAGGAAGCTCAACAACCCACAAAAGGAATGAATTACTGTGATACCTAATGATTACTACCTGTGCCTCATAAATCCTTCAGAACACTTTTGCTTTACCTATGATATTACTGTTTCAGATGTACTAGCCTAAAGCAGAGCAAGGGTCTACTATTAAAAAAATAAATAAATCAGGGAACAAAGACTAATTAAATAGGACTGAAAAGAACATGCTAATCCAAAGCAATAGCTTTCTGTCTGTCACCACATTTCTTAGATTACTAATGTCACCAGCTGATGACAATTCTTGGATCTTTTTGTCCAGCTAAAAATCGATCTGGTTTTTTATTACTCCCTCAAGACTGCACGTCAGGTGAAAACAAAGTCAACAGATCATGCCAAACACCTCATCCCAGTTACCAAGCTCTCCACCACTGGGATATCCTGGAGGCAAGACCACCAAAGCTTTGAATCCAGTACTATCTTATTACTCACCAAAACAGTGAATTTGATATCCATCATAAACTCTTCACATTCTTAGAGTGCACACCCAGTATTTAGGCAACTCCCACCCCTGCTTTTCTACAAAAGATCCAAACTCTTCAACTCATTGCTTTAATCTCACCATACCTCCAGTCTGTGTTAACCACTGCACTATGTTTAAATATTTATCTACACTTCTGAAGTTAATCCCTGTTTTTCACTTACCCCAATAATTCTCTTGAGTCACTAAGGAGACAAATGTTTTCACCCACTACCGTTTACCTCATTCACCACGACAGTTTGCTTTTCTCTTGTTGGGCTTTTTGCTCAGATTTCTTTTTTTTTTTTTTTTTTAAACACTCCCCTATTCCTTTTTTTCCTGTACACATATTAATGTTAGAATGGTAACTCCTAACTAGTGTTAAGACTGCTTCACTGGACAGGGGCCATTTTCTTGCTTTGTTTTATGCACAGTGCCATCAAGAAGACCTGCACCAAAATACATACAGAGGCAATCAGCAACGAACTAAGATAATCAATGATTATGGTATACACAGTGGTTCCAAAATAAACCTGGATGAACAGGTGATCCATGGTCAAGGTGGATTGGCAGGAACATGAGACAACATGCTGTTACAATCTGTATTTCTGTTCACTATTATCTGTCTCCAAAGCCTTCAATCTAGTAACTATCTTCACAGAATTAAATCTATTAAAGATATCTCTCTCCATGTTGACTGTATTTAAGCCCTAGGTAAGTGCTAAAAAATAAAGGCATTAACTGGGCCTAGTACACTTCACAGTGACATTTGCAGAAGCCAAATGGTATTTTCTTTTTAAGTTATAAACAATCTGCAAGCAAGGCAGATACTGACTTTGATAAACTGCCTGCTTCCCTCTCCATTCCATCTGTTAATAATTTTGTTCTCCTACTGGAGATTCATTATAGGTAGAGAAATAATATCAGTCCACACGAATTTAGAACAATCACAAAGCAACTATTATATTGGGAATAAACCATTTTTCTTGCTGGCTTTCCACCATCTACCTTAACTGATCTGAAAGAAATGTAGATAAATTCCGCAGTTACTGAGAAACACGAATAGAGTCCCTTCATTCTGCAGCTTCTGAAACAATTCAAACTTTTAATGCTGCAACTATGCCAAAGGACAGAAGAGGACTGTTCCACAGTGCAATTAAATTGGTAAGCTACAACACTTTAAAGAACGGGGAGCATTTAATATTAATCCCAGAACAAATGTCTATGGAACCACCTACTCCCTACCCAGGAAAGTGAATACGAGCCTCTGGCGCGCAGGAAGAACATGTACAGCTGGGATACTCGCACAGTAGCTCCTCTCACTCCCTCCTACCTCCCCCTTTGGACACGTACGACAAGCGAGCCACGGCACTGCCTCAGCCTCCATAAGGAATCATGGGCCCGCTGGGGGTGCCAGCGCTGCCCTGGCCCCACCGAACAGCAGCCATCACAGGGCACTAGCCAACAGCTTCCAACACAAGCCCCAGGGGCAGGAGCCCCGCCCGGGAGCCGCGGCTGCTCCCCGCCCCCCAGCCCTCTCTAGCGGAGGGAGCCCTAGCCAAGAACCGCGCACCACCCTCCTCGCAGAGCGGGCTCCTCCGGGCGTCGCAACAAGCCGGGGGAGGAGACGGGGAGCCGCAGC